TCATTGCCGTCTTCCTGGATGGGGACCCCGAGACGGGCCACGTCAATGGATAGAGACATTGTCAGATATGACCCAGTCGCGCCCTCAATGGCGCTCATGCATCCAAGCTATTGCCTTCAATGCATAGCTCCTTTTCCAACCCCCCTACTTGACAGCCCACTGACAGTGCTGGATTTATGCACCAATTTATCAGCTCCCGCCTGCAACGCGCAGCAGGCAGGTGATGTATCGGGTTAGTTTTCCTATTGTTGCAGCTGCATAAGTCTCGGCAGACTGGTGAAAATCCAACTCATTTCCCGAATCGGGAAGGCCGTGGCAGCGTTTGTCGATCTCCGACATTTGTGGCACCGAAGTGATAGTCTAACTGAAAGGTAGAGTACAGAATGCCGCGTTTTGATTTGTGAATCAGATGTGGTCGATGCTTGTGAATGATCTAGGACTCCGTTTGGCCTCCCAAGATTTGCGCGGGTCTGGTCGAAACACCAGATCGGTATTGCTGAGGTAGACGGGGTTGTTTTCCCCCTCGATTGATCAGCTCGCCACATTCCACAGGTTTCACCGTTTAGGCCGTGTACTTTTGTATGTCAGAGAGCTGTGCTTCATGGAACCGTTTTCGCCCATCCTTGTATCGTGTGGAAACAACCCAAGGTCGATCAGTCCATGCCTTGGTAAACACCGTCTTCTCGGATGGGGACCGTGACGAACCGATGCTTAGCGTCTTTGACAAACATGGCTGTATCACGTAGTTATTGACCGTCTTGCATCAAAGTATCGCCTTTACTGCGTAGTTCTCAATCCTTGCCATACCAGACAAACAGAACCTTTTAATGCCATTAAGCTGATTGGACCGTCGCCCTTAAATACGGTTCTCGTTCCCTTGTTCTCCCTATCCTCGATGAACGAAGCTGTAACAGCTAGAACCACTTAATTGCGATACACGGTTTTCTAGCTGAAAAACTATCTTGATCATTCCCATTGTGTATCTAACAAGCTCATAAATGAGCTCATGCTGATCTTTGTCTTCAATGTGATCAACAGCAACACAACTATTGAATACGCTGTGGTGGAACGATCCGTGGGATCTCAGAGTTTCTGCAGAAGACGGCAGTGTGTTTTCAGACACAACGGCCTTTGTTGATTCTAAGAAGATTAATGCGTCCAACTGCTTTTTGTCCCCCTAATCCATCAAAATTTGCAGCTCAATCACATCGGAACACAACTTTGTCATCCCTTCTTTTCTCACTCATTCTCAATCGATCAGACTATTGAGTCATTGGTTCCGGGCAGGGTTTCCCAAAGAAACCCTAACAATCTCTGTCTCACGGCTGAGAGTTAGAGACTCTGAACAGGTCTCTGAACAGAATCCCACATATCCCCACTGCCTTGTAGATCAGACTTGAGTCGAAGGCTCAAGGTGGGATACCTCAACTAACCTCCCTTCTTCGGCCTGCCCCTGCAGCTCTTCGTTCACCTGTCTTCTCCCACCTAGTGCAATCAACTTATTTGCCAGCCCCCTAGCCGCTACTCCGTGTCTAAATCCTCGCCCAAACAAACCAAAATAATCACTTACTAACCCTAAAAGATCTGACCTACGTTGCAGCTTTTAATGTCCGCACTCTATTTCAAATTGGGGAACAGGCATCCCTTGCTGAAACCTTGCTTGTGTCTCCGAAACACGCATCCTCATCTTCATTGTCAGCTGTAATAATCGCGTACTTGTCGCACAGTGGTTGTACCTGCCACATTTCCGTTCCTCGATGATTCGGGGATAGGTGCTTAGGTAGCTGCGCACACAAGACCCTACTTCGGTCGTGCTCCTCAAGCCGCTTAGGACGAGCCCATATGTTCCACATTTCACTCTTCGATTATCTGGTGATCCTGACACCATGGCTCATGGTATCTACGGTGTGGGAGTTGCACTCGGCCCCAAGGTTGAACGCGTGTTACTGGACTGGATCCCAGTAAACAGTCGCCTGTGCGCTGTGGTTGTTTGGTTTAATTAAGATTAACGCGGGTCGTTGTTTATTTGTCGTATCATCATACGCCCCAACAGACTGCAGTTCTGTGCCTGAGAAGGACGAGTTCTATGAAGATCTGTCATGACTGCTTCAGTCTGCAAGAAGGACGGAAATAATAATCCTGGTGGGCGACTAAGTCCGAAAGAAGCACAGTTAGGTGGTAGCTTTAGATTCGATACTGAGCATTCGGATAGTGGAGAGCAACTTCTTCATTTGTGCGCAGATCATCGTCTGTTCCTGGCCAGTACAAACTCCCAACACAAATGCTTGGATCAAGCTGAGCTCTTTTCGCCCAGCTCTGCGCTGAGTGGAAGTGACCGAGAGATGGATAATGTAAGACTTGGCAACGAAGTACGAAAACACCAACCAGTAAACTTAGTCGGGTCGACAACTGTCGGGACTCAAATCACCAGTGGTTAATGACATTGACAGAAATGGCCGAATCGCGCAGTCAGTAGCGCTCGTACAGCAATCTATCGCCTGCAATGCACAACTACCCGATTTCCGAACAAACTGAATATGTCATTGCCTCGAAAGCTTGGCTGTATGTCCCACACTCCCGTTTTCCGGTGATCGAAACCGTAACAGCTGGAACCAATGTGCCCATGGCACACGTATCATAGCTGATAAATTGAATTAATTGATTGATTCCCAGTATTTTCGTGACTTGCTGGAAATATAACCGAACATTATCTTTTCTCACTTTATATAGGTGGAAGCAAACCTCGAGAAGTACAAAACCCTGTATGACATTGTGTTGGTCAATGATGACACCTTTGCAGTTCCGTTGGCAGTGATGAAGAGTATTCTACAATGCCACCAAGCTGTAGCTGACGGAATCGCTGCACCCACGACAAACAACACCGATGATATTGAACTTTGACTCATTTTTCGGTACCTGCCTTCTGTTGACGGTGGTGGGCGTGTGTGTGCCATAGCTGTAAATTGTCCTGTATTTGGTGTATTACACTCTTCCACCACCGATCTGAACGAACCTGTGATCGCAGCGCTTCCAGCAGCCTGCATAAATCTAATCAGTCGGTCTATATTTTTCTCTATATATGTGACTGCTTATTATTTGGGTTGAATTGTCTTATCGGATATCACTCACTGAATACATTCAGATGATTTCATCATTATTTTCATCGTTTCTTGGCGTTTTATTGGTGCTCTCTGAGTCAGAAATAATATTTCTGCGTCTACTTTGTAGTTTTTCCTGTACTACTCTCGCCAACAGAATTTTCATGAGGCCTCAGTCAAATGCATTTGTCTTTTGGGTTTTCCGGCCAAACAAAGGCGTATGAATTTTCGACCAGGGTTTGTATGTCCTCATCACACCAACTTGTAAAAATCAGCATGTGTACATCGGGCCTACCGTCTTAATGTTACTGAACTTCACTGGGTGCCTCCAACTATGATGACCGATAAGTCCCAAATATGTCCCATCGGTTTGTTCATTCATCTGTCAAAATAGTCTGGATGGATGTCCACTCAACATTTTCGTTTACAGCGTCTCTCACCCGGAGAAAGAACCTCCAAGGAGACCACGAAATTTCCCAGCCCCGATTTTTCAGCTAGGTAGGAAGACCTCCAAAGGAGTGCATTTCTAAGCAATTACTGTTTACTAACTGGAAGTTGAATAGCATGATTCAACCACTCAACTCTCTATTGCGTTTTTTTCTTACGCAACGAAACTCCCTAGTGTTTATTAGTAGTGTTTAGTAGTGCTTGCACCAGCAGAGAGCTCTCGTTCACTGGAACCACTGCCGAAGGACAGACAACAAGTGGTGGGAGCGCACTCGAAGAGTTACCTTGGTGCATTGCTTCAGAATGACCTAAATGCATAACAGATTTAGTTGCAGCTGTAGCACCCTTCCGGGGCCTAACTGCCACGCCACCCGAAGGTTTCACGAGGGCTAGGATACTGCCAGGTTGCCCAAGCCTAGACAGGGGAAGTCGAGAGGTGGAGGTCGGGTTCGAACCACGGACCTTCCGGTCAGTAAATTCGCACGCTCACCACTTGAGCCATCTCGCATAACAGGTTTTGTGCACGGGGAAGCTCCTCGGTCACTGTGGTTGTGATTTTGGTGATGGCCGTAGATAGCAGTAGTTAGCTCCGAAGAACAACAAGCGTAACGCGTGAAATCCCATCACGGCCGCAACGGTCAAGTCGGTAGCGGTTTAGTGCGAGCTCTCGTATACGACTTTTTGTAAGTTTTAAAAGATAGCGTTGAAGTAACCGGCATTTTCAGGGCAAACGAGACTCATTATTTTTCAAAACGCCACGAATTCTCTTTGGCGCGAACAGATAGTTGTCATGTTTACGGGTAAAACAGTTTATCTCCCTGTGAAGAACTGAGGTTTTGTGAATGAAAAGTGAGCATACTTCACATCACTCTTTAGCCACCATCTCCTGAGACACTATGTCGGCACCAGGAATGTCATCGATAGATGCAGTTTCGATATGACCAACCATCTTGGTCAGTATCGTCAGAGGTTGAATATCCTGTCAGCATTAGCCCATCAGAACGTAACCAGGGTTTTCATCATAGGTCTATTTCACCGGCTATACTACTTGTAAACAGAGCTCCAAATGTTCAGATGGATTATGGGGTTCCGTCTTTTATTGTGTAATTCAGTGTGTGGTGGCTGAAAAGACGCAAATTAGTCGATTTTTGCACTGGGTCTGGTTGTATCAAAAAGAATGACTTATTTAATACTGAACGGAGAATAATATAGAAGTGAATGGGTAGAAAAGTAATACCTCATCCATTTCCTCAAAAGGGTTTGGCAAACAATAGTGGTTTTTAACCGGGCAACGTTTCGTTTTTGACAAGAGCTTCACCAGGCCAAGTGTGCTGGTGCAAGTGAAGGATCGCCTCCCGGCAAACAGCGCCAAGGACTGTGTACAAATTCAAACGCATTGACTGAGCCAAGGTTTATGTAGGGAACTTCACACCGGAACCGGAGAGCACAAGAGAAGAGTAAAGGGGCCGTCGAGAAACGTGGATGAATATCGAGCGTTTGAGCCAAGGTGTAGGGAACTTCACACCGGAACCGGAGAGCACAAGAGAAGAGTAAAGGGGCCGTCGAGAAACGTGGATGAATATCGAGCGAGCGTTAAAGACGGCAGTGCAGGAACATGTAGTGGATACAGACAAATAATAGATTTAAAAAGTGTCAGTGTTTTGGGGTGGGAACTGCAGCCCACGCCACAGTGACTATGTGGTTATTCGAAAGAGGAGTTATCAACAAAAGTAGCTAGGATCTGAAGTGCACTCTCCCACTCCCCCCCTCAAACTAAACTGTCAGCGGTTACAATCTCACACGGACCAGAAAAATCTAGCAGTGGCATCCTAGGTGAATCACCAGTTGAACCACCTTGAACCGTAAGATTGAGGAACTGAACCCAGTCAAAAGTAATCTGGAAACCCCATCCACGTGAGATTTAGGCAAATACACTAACTGACAAATCCTTTAATTAGCATTCAACACTGATCTAGTGTGCTAACCAGAAGAGGTTTTACTGATTAGTTCTCCGTCTGCTTTGAAACCTGGCCCTTTCGGTGACGTACTCATTCGGTCTGATGAAGCCTTCGTGTCAAAAGTGAAGAGTTGCCCAGCCGACAACTACTGATTGCTTACCAAGCACTTCTAAAACGAATTCTCAATCGGCTCCAGACTTCCTAATTGGTTGACAATCTCATCCAGTTTTAACGGGATACTCAACTTAATCCTGGCTGGATCTCCTTTATGATAGCCCTGAATTGAATGTGCTGCACAGGTGATATTCGGGATGTTGCCGCATATTTCCTTGACAGAACGCGGGGTTGCTGAACGCTTGACAGCCCATGATCGGTTTCGCTCTTTTCTTAGCTTATTGGGTAAGCGTAGTCTCTGAGTTTCCGTTGAATTTGTATTGTACTTGAACTCCATTAGGTACAAAATTCAGTTGCCCATTTATCTGAAGGGGCGAGATGGCTCAGCGGTCAGAGCGCGAATTTGCTGAGCAGAGGGTCCGACCTCTGTCTCTCGAATTCCCCTGTCTGTGCTCAAGGAACCTAGCTGTATCCCAACCCTCGTGCTTTCTTCTGGTGACCTGGCATGTAGGCACCGAAAAGGTGCTACAGATAAATGGTGATTTTAACCGGATGCTCAATTGGATTCCAGCTGGATTTGATTATGTCAGCTACATGCAATGTGGTGTTCAAGTAGAAGATAGGGTTGAAGGAAACTCGAGGATTGCGCCTACCTGAAGAGCCTTAAGACGGTTGAAACTGGTAGTGGGCTGTCCAGGGATTTTCACGGACCTCATGGGTAGCGTTCCTTCAAGAAAGCCCATTAAATCAGGACCGATCTAACAGCTTGCTATGAAGGTGAATTTAACAGCGCTTCTCACCTCACCAAGGCGATTGCCAGATTCGGACGAGTCACTTCTGGTAGCATAAACCCGGGCCACGTAGCTGCATTGTGAAAACTTCAGCTTTGACCAGACCGTGTTTTCGGATCGATATTGGCAACCTACGGAAGCGTTGTAGATCACTTGAGACATCTCGTTTGGCTTGATCACGTGACCGATCTCAAGAAACGTGACTCGGTCCAACTTTTGGCCGTATTGATGGGTCTACCGTTATTCCTGAAAAAGAAGTGCTTACATGTTCTCTTGCCAAGTTCACACACCCAACATACTCTGCTTTACAAAAGCAGAAAACCATACTTGCTGTTGTGGACCGGCACCTTGTTTCTGAGGTGGTTGTCGATGCCATAGCTCCTAAAACCGTTGTGTGGGGTTGGTCTCAGAACAACGCTTCATTTGCTTCCTCCACTATCTGGTTATCTTCAGCCTCATTGAGAACGTAAAATGTTTCAAGGTAATTGATCGACGGTGTTTTAAACACTTGTCAACCGTAGAAGGTGGATGATTTCACAGACTGTGCATTCGTGTCCAATGGGTCTTCGTCCTGGCTCAACAAAGCTGGTTGCTTCCTTTCCATCTACCTAGTCTGGATAGCGCGTGTGTTCGGGTGATTCATGCTGAAGGCCTGGAGCAGCGCGGCCAAGTCTCGATGTAGCTGAATTCTGTTCCAGGTTTCAATCGAAATATTTACTGACAAAATTTCTCACTCACGACTGGTTTTAAATGACGCCAGTGGATTCTCTCAAATCAATCCTGCCAACGTTTTAGTTTAGCCAGAAGTTTTCAGCTACCTTCTATATATCTCAAAGAGGTGTTCATTCGTATTCGGACTTACGTAGTAAAAGGGAATCGGACACAGACAGAGCTTCACGTGCGTGTGAGGAATCAAAACAAGAGCCGAAACACGATCGGCTGGACAGAAATACCTACCTTCACATTCCATTTTAAAAGGCATGGAAAGACGGCAGTGCAGGAACATGTAGTGGATACAGACAAATAATAGATTTAAAAAGTGTCAGTGTTTTGGGGTGGGAACTGCAGCCCACGCCACAGTGACTATGTGGTTATTCGAAAGAGGAGTTATCAACAAAAGTAGCTAGGATCTGAAGTGCACTCTCCCACTCCCCCCCTCAAACTAAACTGTCAGCGGTTACAATCTCACACGGACCAGAAAAATCTAGCAGTGGCATCCTAGGTGAATCACCAGTTGAACCACCTTGAACCGTAAGATTGAGGAACTGAACCCAGTCAAAAGTAATCTGGAAACCCCATCCACGTGAGATTTAGGCAAATACACTAACTGACAAATCCTTTAATTAGCATTCAACACTGATCTAGTGTGCTAACCAGAAGAGGTTTTACTGATTAGTTCTCCGTCTGCTTTGAAACCTGGCCCTTTCGGTGACGTACTCATTCGGTCTGATGAAGCCTTCGTGTCAAAAGTGAAGAGTTGCCCAGCCGACAACTACTGATTGCTTACCAAGCACTTCTAAAACGAATTCTCAATCGGCTCCAGACTTCCTAATTGGTTGACAATCTCATCCAGTTTTAACGGGATACTCAACTTAATCCTGGCTGGATCTCCTTTATGATAGCCCTGAATTGAATGTGCTGCACAGGTGATATTCGGGATGTTGCCGCATATTTCCTTGACAGAACGCGGGGTTGCTGAACGCTTGACAGCCCATGATCGGTTTCGCTCTTTTCTTAGCTTATTGGGTAAGCGTAGTCTCTGAGTTTCCGTTGAATTTGTATTGTACTTGAACTCCATTAGGTACAAAATTCAGTTGCCCATTTATCTGAAGGGGCGAGATGGCTCAGCGGTCAGAGCGCGAATTTGCTGAGCAGAGGGTCCGACCTCTGTCTCTCGAATTCCCCTGTCTGTGCTCAAGGAACCTAGCTGTATCCCAACCCTCGTGCTTTCTTCTGGTGACCTGGCATGTAGGCACCGAAAAGGTGCTACAGATAAATGGTGATTTTAACCGGATGCTCAATTGGATTCCAGCTGGATTTGATTATGTCAGCTACATGCAATGTGGTGTTCAAGTAGAAGATAGGGTTGAAGGAAACTCGAGGATTGCGCCTACCTGAAGAGCCTTAAGACGGTTGAAACTGGTAGTGGGCTGTCCAGGGATTTTCACGGACCTCATGGGTAGCGTTCCTTCAAGAAAGCCCATTAAATCAGGACCGATCTAACAGCTTGCTATGAAGGTGAATTTAACAGCGCTTCTCACCTCACCAAGGCGATTGCCAGATTCGGACGAGTCACTTCTGGTAGCATAAACCCGGGCCACGTAGCTGCATTGTGAAAACTTCAGCTTTGACCAGACCGTGTTTTCGGATCGATATTGGCAACCTACGGAAGCGTTGTAGATCACTTGAGACATCTCGTTTGGCTTGATCACGTGACCGATCTCAAGAAACGTGACTCGGTCCAACTTTTGGCCGTATTGATGGGTCTACCGTTATTCCTGAAAAAGAAGTGCTTACATGTTCTCTTGCCAAGTTCACACACCCAACATACTCTGCTTTACAAAAGCAGAAAACCATACTTGCTGTTGTGGACCGGCACCTTGTTTCTGAGGTGGTTGTCGATGCCATAGCTCCTAAAACCGTTGTGTGGGGTTGGTCTCAGAACAACGCTTCATTTGCTTCCTCCACTATCTGGTTATCTTCAGCCTCATTGAGAACGTAAAATGTTTCAAGGTAATTGATCGACGGTGTTTTAAACACTTGTCAACCGTAGAAGGTGGATGATTTCACAGACTGTGCATTCGTGTCCAATGGGTCTTCGTCCTGGCTCAACAAAGCTGGTTGCTTCCTTTCCATCTACCTAGTCTGGATAGCGCGTGTGTTCGGGTGATTCATGCTGAAGGCCTGGAGCAGCGCGGCCAAGTCTCGATGTAGCTGAATTCTGTTCCAGGTTTCAATCGAAATATTTACTGACAAAATTTCTCACTCACGACTGGTTTTAAATGACGCCAGTGGATTCTCTCAAATCAATCCTGCCAACGTTTTAGTTTAGCCAGAAGTTTTCAGCTACCTTCTATATATCTCAAAGAGGTGTTCATTCGTATTCGGACTTACGTAGTAAAAGGGAATCGGACACAGACAGAGCTTCACGTGCGTGTGAGGAATCAAAACAAGAGCCGAAACACGATCGGCTGGACAGAAATACCTACCTTCACATTCCATTTTAAAAGGCATGTTTGTGAGTTTGTCTCTGATTCGGAACGTCAATCGTTTCGTTTATGCAGTCAGGCCGATCAACTTTTGCGTCCCAGATGTTCACTGCTACACAAACGTATGCGAGATTTGCCCACTGCCTCCGTGTAACTGACGAATGATAAATGGATGTTTAATTTCTATTCATCAGCTTAGTAATCTGGAAAAGCATACGAATTGCTTACATGATAAGCGTTTATTGGCAGAAATACCGGCGGGGCGAAATAGTTCTTTTACACAGGGACGCCATCTTCTAGTTACAAGAAGCGTGGGCTCAACAAAATGCTTGCAGGTGAATATTTTAACTGTGTTTATCTATCCAGATACTGCTGGTGTTAATTGTATCGTTTTTGGTAGTGCGTAAAAAATTAGCGCAATGCGTACTATGATAAAGTCGATCGCTAGCTGCTAAATATTTCGAGTGTCTTAACCGCAGTTACGGGATTAAAAAGACAGTCATTAAGCTATGTTGAAAGCGTGAATTAATTCAGAATGGCAGCGATAGTGAAGTGCGTTGAACTGAATATGTTAACGTCGACATTTTACGTGGTTGAATTCCACGAGGAACAGCACTGATATGGCGCGGCCTTGACTGACGAACTGGACCGTTTCTCCAGTTGTATCCCAGGGTTCACCTATGCGGAATCCAGTTTTTTTAGCCAGATTAAATGTGCCGGTGTCCACTGGATTTATCGTGAGCGAAGTAACAAGCTTCCATTCTGGTTTGAACCATGATGGTTGGGTGAAGGCGCTGTTTCGAATATTTAATTCCGTTTCTGATCAGTTAGTTGGATGAATTCGCACTTTTCTGTAATCATGTTAAGCTGCACCGAATTCGATGATTCATTGGTTTCATTGATCTGGTAAAATGCGAGTTCCTAGTACAGTAAAGCGGCTGGAGAGCGTGTGCGATGCATCCACCTTCAAGATCGTTCAAACCCAACCTCCGCATCTCGACTGCTCCTGTCTAGGCTTGAGAATCTTCGTGCTTCCTTGGGGTGGCATGGTAGCTAGGCAACGGAAGGCTGCCGTAGCTGAATGACCGAGTCCATTTGAAATTATGAGGTTCGTCAAACATTTTTTGAATGTAACTGATCGGCTAGGTGCGACCGGTCTTGGAGGATCAAAACATATTCGCTTGGGAATTCGGGATTCAGGAACAATCGTCATCCATTTCTTTACGATATGTCTCATGTTGTTCAGGGTAGACTCGCTTCCCCTATTTGCGACTCGCAAATCTACAAACTGAACGTATCTTCAAGTAGGAACCATTGCAATCCATCATCGGGCCACTGGTATTGTTCATTGGAATGGGTGCTTATATTTAATTAATTAATAAGCCAAACTATTCGCACGCCTTCACTCCGACTCTGGAGTCACATCCGCGTCAAAAACATAACTATTTACCAGTGCAGTCTCCATGATTTCTGCTAATTAACGAGAATGCGGATGAGCGAGGTTAGTATCAACATTAGTTGTGTCGAGCTTGTATTCACATGGGTGACCACAACTCAGGTGACTCCTCGAAAGCTGAGACTAGAAAAAATTGTTCAGCTGTAGCTCCTTTCAGTGCTTAGCTGCTATGCCAACGGAAGGAGGCACGAGGGCTGGGTTACCGCCAGGTCGCTTGAGCCTCTACAAGAGCAGTCGAGATGCTGAGGTTGGTTTCGAACCACCACCATTCGGAGCATTGTCCAAATCTGGTGGGAACACAGGATGAGCAGTGCTGAAGTTCGTAAAATGGTATTCGGGAGAAATAACTCACAATCGATAGATGAACTGGTCACACTGCATAGTTTGCGCTGGCTTGACCATGTGCTGCGTATGTCAGTCGACCGACTTCTTCGAAGGGCTTTTTTCGCACAACCACGTGAAGGGTGGAAGAGAGCCAGAGGCGGTCAACAATGGCTTGGCAGCAAAGTATAAAAACCATTACCGTCAAAGTCAACTGCGCTCGTCATTTCCGTCTTCCTGGATGGGGACCCCGAAACGGGCCATATTAATGGTTACAGACATTGTCAGATATGGCCCAACCGCGCCCTCAATGGCGCTCATGCATCCAAGCTGTTGCCTTCAATGCATAGCTCCATTCCCAACCCCCCTCACTCAACAGTCCACCTACAGTGCCATGTTTACGCATTAATTTATCAGCTCCCGTGTCCAATACACAGCTACGTACCCCACCTCCCCAAATAATCGGTGAACGAAACTGTGGCAGCTACAACCACTGGACGACAAGTACGCGGTTATTACAACTGACAATGATGATGATAATGACGGACCTTCCGGTTCATAAGCTGCCGCCTCAACCACTGAGCTATCTCGAACCCAGTGACTTTGTAAACTATACAAGCACAACTCTACCCAGTTGGGAAAATATTTTCCGATCATCCACATTCATGACTACTGACAACTGTGAATAGGTACTCCTTGTACATATACACAACACAGTATGGTTCTTCCTGCTGCCTACTGTGTTGACTAGCTACCTCAGATATGTACACTTGTGCATCCACAAGAATCCGGACAGTGCTTCAGAGTTCTACCCATTACTAACTACTGGCACCGTAAGCATAAGTAGCCTTACAAATGGATCAACATGCTTGATTTTGATGTTATTTGACTCCTCATTTTACGATGTGACACTTTTAACTACTACCGAGGGCAACTTGTCATTTTTGTTCAGCTTATCATTGAAATTGTCACAGACCGAGGCAGAGGGACCTATGTTCATGCTACCTCGATCCAATCACAGTAGTGGACACTGTCTTCTTGTGGCAGACAATTACGTGCCCATGGTCTCTCCTGGTTTTCGTTATCTGAAGGAGCGATAAAAGACAAAGCCTTTACTGGTATCTGACAGTTGATGAACAGACTAACAAATTCAACAGTTCACTTTATTAACGGTGTAGTGACTTGGATCCCAAGCCCAGACACCAATTGTGATTGACGAACTTAAGTTCCAGTGTGCACATTACAGTCCTCGTAAGCTCAAAGTGTGAGGACCTATTGTTGACGGCGTTTCATAGATGACACCACTTACTCATTGTGTCGACTAAATTGATCTGTAGAAGCAAGTAAACTAGGTACTTCACAAAATGGAATCTAATACTACCTGTTGTGCTTAGACGTCAGATTTTTCCTACAACAATTAGAAATGCAGCGAACTCGCCGAACACCCAGCCCTATTACCATAGATGACACAAACATTTCCCTTTTCCCTTGATTCTCCTAATGCAACCTCAAATTTGACGATCCAATTGATAAATCGGCGGTAATGCAGTCGATGATCAGTGAGGTTGTCAAGTTTGTCGGTGATATGCAGTTGTACGCTGAGTGTGCAAACGACCTTCCTTAGTACAACCGACCTTCAACGTCCTTTTTTGGCACAGACGGTAAAATATCCAGAAAGACACTTAATTTAACGGTTTTACACAATAATCGGCGCACTGCTGGGTGCAGTTCTTGCTGTTATCATATTCAAAATTTCGAAACACCTACTTTCAGGTAATTCTCCAGGCGTGGTCGTTACTCAATAGTGTGCCTAACTGATGCGGTCGAATAGAACTGCAAGCAGAACTGACTTCCCTATGTAGGAAAGGCCAGGTCCGAAAGATTGAAGTCACACTATCGGTATTTTCATGACTAACAGAGTTGAGGATTGAACAGACATCAGCAGAGTTTAATTTGACTGCCACCCATAGTAAACTCTCCCCAACACATTGTCAGACTTTTGCAATACACACGTGCGTGCACTTATAATTCAAATGCAGGGAGATTATCAGAATCCAACCGGCCGTGAAATCCTTCCATTCCAGTTTACAGTGACAACCGTGTACTGTTCAACCCCGGTCACGACTTAAATCACGTGACTGTCATCCCTTTAACATCCACCTGAAAAAAGTGAGACCCACGTGATTTGGGAACAAAGCAGTGGCTATATACTAAAATTTAGATACATTAATAACACAATGTATGATGTAAATAAGCATACACGATACATAATATGTATGATGTGTTTAGATACTCATCGAGTACAATAGTCCCTGCATTTGACATGTTCAAAGTACGACCGGAGAGATAATGAGATAGACATTACGCTAGGTATTCTGAACAAACTGATCAGAGGTTGCTCTTTAGAATATCTGCTAGCCACACGGGTTGACTTTGCGGTAACCTTTTGTTGATCACGCGTCAAAACACCATATACGCCACGTACTGTTCGATGAAAAACGCAGGAAACCAGTGTAACTGACTGAATACTTTGAACTAAGCGTCTTTGATGAATTGCGGATCGATATTCCATCCCTGACTCTACTGGAACTATATATTCCCAGTTTTTTTTCTAATGGGTAATGCAAGTTGATAAATCCCGCGTCCGAACAATAGCTACGGGGAATAATAGCGTGGAACCATGTCAAAATATCGGTAGCCACCAGCCCTCAGTCAATATTCTCCTTCGAACTACAACCAAACCAATAGGGTTTCATCTACGACCCTTTCAACGAAGCCAGGAGCTATCATTCCGTTATTCGTGTTACCCTTCATCGATAAATTGAACTGACAGCTTAGTTATCCAGTGAAAAAGGCAAGTTCTTTTTCTCCATACACAGTAGGAATCGATATTCACTAAATTTCTGATTATACCTAACCGAAAAGAAACTGATACGTACAATAGAAGGATTAATGACAGATTACTGATGAGAGATCGGGGCACAATGTGAAATATGATGCAAGTAGAAGACACATATAAGGCGGGAAGTAGTAACTGATAGATCTTGTGTGTTGTGGAACGCACTAGTGAAAGAACTTGGAGTCACAGAAAAATATGCCACACAATGATTGGTAGGTCTTTGTAGGTAAATCGTAAGGCTGAAGATAAAAGTGTTACTCATCTTTTCAAAAGGCCTATCTTTAATCCCATTGAAGACTATATTTTAGAGACTCACTATCTGCAACACTCAAAATGCTGAAAGATAAAGATTGCGAGAGTTGTTGTGAAATGCATAATTACCACAATGAAGGTAAAGATTGAGACCGTGACATTTGCGATCCGGACAAACTCCATCCATTCAGGGCTAACCGGTCGGTGAAATGCACATTCAGATGGAGTTTTTCTTCCGATACTTGACTTCCAGGCGCGAACACCGTTCACCGTAGAGGATACCACCGTAGACGTGTTCGAATACCGGTTACAGGTCGAATTGCCAAAACCAACCTAAAATACGAGGGCGAAAGTAGATCCCGACGGAGTAGAAGTCTCACATCAATCACAAATACACTGAAATACAGTGTTACCTCGAGAATCGGAGCTTCCACCAGTTAGAGGTTACGCTAAAGTCTCCAAAAGACACTCATTCGCCTGTCTATGGACAAAAATCTGCTATACAATGAGACTTTCCACTGGAGTGCTGTTTATCTCAGCAACTAACTTACGAAGGCTTTTTCCGTAAACGATTATGGCTAGTCTATTGGCTGAGTCCAGTAAAAATCTAAATCTCGCCCGTACAAATTTCTTCTGAATGCTTGGCTAGACGATCTCAATTCAGTCGGATTGGTAGTTAGGATTATGGAATCTTCCCGATATTCAACTCTTACCTGGTGGGATTTATATCAACCATCCCACCTGAGTAAAGATTCCCATCAAACAGCGGATGATCTTACCGCATAACTCTTATTGGTGATTCCCCGCCGTGTCACAGGTCCACTTATAAGACGGACGTTCGTCCTTTGTGTTTCCTGGAATTTTGCGAACTGGTATGCAAAATTCTGCTATGGGCTGTTTTTCCTTCATTGTATCCATTGGTTACATGCTTGGAATGTTTTGTAGGAAACTTTTCCATCCCTGAAACTACGCTTCGAGGTCAACGTTTATCCAATAATGAATTCCTAGTTCCACCAAACGTTAGGTTTGCATCATTTGTGCCTTTTGAAAGATGTTGCGAAACAGAATTTGAAACCGTGGTTAGTTCTTTATCCCCGTTAATGTTTCATGGACAACTGGTACACATGTGGGACTCGGAAAAGAACAGTTGTTCAACTACTGAAACTTCCCAAAACAACGCCATTTGTCCACTAACCCGCTTTTCGGCACGTGAATAGCTGGATTGTCACGTGATGCGGGTGTCAGATGATTGGCTGTATTCTTGTCACGCACCTAACAGCAATAAGAGTGCACGCGTGTCCAAATATTCTTGCATTTGCTATTAATCAGCTGATAGGAAGGCGGACAAACTATGTGAACGTAAACCCAAAGCATCTGCATATGACCCTGAACCGCTAACGTGCCCGTTGTCTTCAAACAGATAAAGAAGGCCTCTGAGGGTCTCCGAGTCCTGTGTAAGGACGACCTATCTCCTGTGACCACTGATCTTGTTTGCTCTGAGTATGAAAATATTGTTTTGAGTAGCTATTCGCACACTCACACTATGTTGTTGCATTAACACGCAAGACACCGCCCACACAGAACTTCGTTCACCATACGCACTGGTTACACCAAGTTGAGAACAAGCCCTGGTCGTCTAAAGCCACACAGCCGTGATCAGTGCCAGTTTGTTCGGTGGACATAAGTGCAATGCTTGTTTACCAGTTGCAAGGATTTAGAATCGCACCGTGTCCCATCGGAAAAGGTGGCCATGTTTGTAGTTTTCTGGCCTCAATTTCTCTGTTCAGTTTATTAAAGAATGCCGCCACACCGGTTTGATCCCGTACATGCTGGGAGGTCATCAGCCTATCGTCTGTAGGGGGGAGGCACTGTAAGTCAGTAACAATTTTGGACATTCGCAGCTTATCCCAGTGATCTCAGTGAGCCAACCATTCGTCTTGCACTAAGTTCCGAAGATTAAACCTTGTCTATGAAGTGTTTGAAAGTTCATATCCTTATGTCAGCATCATCGCAAGATGTAAGAAGTCTGGTACGTCTTACTTTCGTAAAATACCAAAGTATTAGGGACACGGGTGGTACAAAAATCAGGGTGCATAAAGCAGCTAGGAAATTCGTTGCGGTCCTTATATATACTGGTGAGAGTGCGAATCAGTCCTTAGTGAGTAAGGCTATTCTCAATGAGGAAAACTTCTGCAGATTGGAGAACGTTTTTTGTGGGCCCCGTGGATTTTCACAGTAAGAGAGAATCAAAGCATATGCTGTGATACAATTTGTGCGGCACGCTGAATAATGTGGTTCTGAATGAAGGAATGAGACCCTTTTTTCATAATATAACATACAGCAACGCGTTTTGTTCTGATCGTTCTGGATTCACTGTTTGGTCTGTGCACGCATAATAAGAGAGTGACGGTGTCACGCAAGGCGTATTGATGACCGCTGAGCCGACGATTTTGACATCCACTGTTGGACAGGAAAGGTAGACGACTGAAAGGCGATTCATTGTTTTGCCGAAAAAGATAGTTTTAGAAAACAGTCAACTTGCACCAGGTGTGTGAACAAAATTATATTCACCTATGATGGAATGTTGAAGTAATATTAGTTGTAAATTACTCCATATGGCATTCTTTTGGTCGCAACATGCCAGTTTGTGCAACGCTATGATGCATATGATACTCCACGGTGACTTCGTGATTCTCGCTTTCGGAAAACACTTATGGGTTCATTCTACTCTCTGACAGGAATGGACACTGTACCCTTTATTTCTACTCTTGCTTTGCTCACCATCCCAATCCACGCTCAATTGTCAGTGTCCTATATCAGTTCTTGATTTGTTTTTCTGTTCTTAGCCAGGCATCCTGCAAAGTGCGGGGAAAGTCCTTCTGGACATGATTTAATGTCAACTCTGCTATCTTGATGCACGATCTAGTAATCCATTCCCGACTAAATGGCGGGACTCAAAACTATGCTTTGTTTCAAACTGTGGAACTCCCAGCGGCCAATTAGGTCGACACTAATCAATAAACGCTCACAGGCTAGGAGTACACTATATTGACCATGTTCACCAAAATATCCAACCAACTGGTTGTATAACTGAGGTTGCAATACTGAGATTCAGCTGTTCTGACATTGGCTTTAACCTCTACTTTTACAACAGACTGGAAACGAGGTGCTCTGATCCGGGTGAACAGATACAAACACAGCCATGCGTGATTCGAAGAATTCATAAAAATACAATGTTCTGTTCCAGCAACATTCACCTGTACTGTTGTGTGTTCAATTCCATCCTAACAATCGTGGTGGTAGTCGTTCTCATCCACATTATGACCAAGATATACCGACCAACAACAGCGAAGAATCCCAGTGGTCCGGTATCGGTTCCACATTGTGAAAGGTGAGCCAAAAAGAGTGTGTGGATTACTAACTGGAACTCCCAGTTTGCAGCAGCATTGTTAATGATCTTTTTAGCTTGTTTGGAGAACACGGATGATGGGTGGGTGATTAGATTACCACGATCAGCGCGCTCTATTGGAGCAAAGTGTCCGAAAACCAGATCAGTTGTCTTTCAGCTGTTGTCTTATTCCAATTCAGTGGGTGGAATAGCTGTCACGCTGTCCTTGTGCAGTAGACGGAACCATGCAGTTATTGAGTCCGAGAGTGTATTGGACACAGTTGCTCGGACGTTCTCTGAGACAACCTCGACGTCAATGGATTGATACATTTTCCCGTAAACACGAAATTGACCACAGCTGTTCCCTCTGAAACCATATCAGGAGTGACCTTTCTTCATGGTAGTGAGCAAAAGACTGGATTACCAGTGAGTCCGATATGAACTTTCCAGGTCTGAAAACTGCCAATTCCCAACGCCACTAGAACAGTTACTGAATCGGCATCTGAAAGAGCCTTACCACTGACCGCTGCGCTTAGGCAGCTGTGATTTTAAGTCGCCTCAGGTAACAAATTATTTCTGAATTACTTTCAGGTGACTGAACTGTGGACTGCCAAGCCCACACTGTTTGAAAGCTTACTAAGCCAAGCTAACTCAACTTGAAGATATAGCAAACTAATTCAAATCAAAATACAGTTGCAATGGCTCTATGCAGCGTTATTATTTGTAGCGGCCGTCGTCCGAATGATCTAGGGGCGAATCCTCATCTTTGTCGTTTCAATTCATGTTACTGGTGCTCACTCCAGTTCCCTGAACTAAAAGAACACATGAAAGAGTTCTATTCAGATACATTCTGCTACACTAGCGGACGCAGAATAACCGTATGTCCGGCAATGTTGTGGAATGTAGGTAGCTCGGTTGCGCTGTTTGGTTGTTGGTCTGTTCGCCGAGTTTGGCAGTTGGGTTGCAACCGTTTCATCACCAATCGAGGTGACATCGTCAGTGCAGGGTTGAGTGGGTGAATTCCTCCTCTTCTGCCTGTGATTATATAGCTTCTAAACAGTATCTGGTATACTATATAGTGCTATATAGCCGCAGGCAAGAGAGGAGGAATTCACCCACTCAACCCTGCACTGACGATGTCACCTCGATTGGTGATGAAACGGTTGCAACCCAACTGCCAAACTCGGCGAACAGACCAACAACCAAACCGTATATCCTTTAGTGCTCCTTTCTTCTGCGAATATTCTTCGCCCGATTTCTCCGGTTTTCGGATGAGGGCAGTGAGGAAATTCCTTTAAACCAAGATGGGAAATTAGCCAAATAACGTCCAAAGTAAAATTATGTGGTGTGTTGAACTTCTAGTGTGATGTTCTCGTGCAGCTCTGAAAAACTTTGAAGGCTTGATAGATTAGCGGTTAATTACATCCTGGAATGAGCCGAGATAGTCGAGTGGTTAAGGCGCCATCTTACGGACTGGAAGATCAGTGGACGGAACCAAACCCTGGCATCTCGATTGCTCCTGTCTAGGCTTGAGCAATATCCCAGCCCACGTGACTCTATCCGTTTGTATGGTGGCTAGGCAGCAAAAGGGTGCTACAGCTCAACGAGTTGATTCAATTTTTGATATCCTAGGATGACTTAGACTGGAATGAAGGAAAACCACATCCTTGTTAGCTCGCCTGAATAAATACGTTCTCTGAAGTACCGGTGGACGGACTATTCTGGGACCGAATAAAACGATGCCTTTACATGATGGAATATAACGAGTGCTTTCAGAGGCTAGTAGCGCCAGTTACGACAGTTTCGAAATTCTGGTTTATCCGAATGTACAAAACAATGACCCAACTGCCAGAACGAGTAACGTGCGCAGCAATCTTGTGCGCGATAACCACTAAGTAGTTCAGAGTGAGAAGCTCCAGCCAGTTACCCAATCATACTATCACCCTACTGTCCTCACTTATCCGTCCTCTTGAGTACATCCGGATCCCATTTATACTTACAAATTATCAGTTCTGCACTGACTAGCTGAACAGGTAGCCAGTTTTGAGACACCCATATTTTCGGCTGCTAGGTAGCAACCACGGCACATTCTGAAATCAAGCATCAACGAGAGTTAATACTCATATTTCGTCATCAAGTACCTTTGGTCATTACCATTTGATGCGTCACGATGTTTCACCCTTACAGGGAGGTATTAGCGACGCACATCTCCAAGGCGTTTCGAACCCGCGATCTCTAAGACAACTGTTGAAAAACCAACCGGTTGGCTACGAGCGGCTGGTCACCTGCGATTCACGTCCACCTACACAGGATACAGCGCCATGAATCCTTCTTTCGCATCACGCGCTCACGTCTTGGCAAGCTCCTCACGTGACGATTTGTCAAGCGACTTGTAAATTATTCCCATCTCCGAGCTACTTAGTATTTGCTGGTAGTATGACTAGCTTGGGAAGTAAGGATGAGAGAGCTGTATTGTGCGGACTTACTTTACTAACAGAATGAAGTGTAAAATGTGAAATATTTAAGATCCACCTAGGAATCCTTTCATCATCAAGTTCCTTGTTAGCATATGTCTGAACACTGAAAAAGAAACCTTAGCAGGTAAGTGTGTTTTTCGAAGCTTTTGTTCCAAATAGCCGTGATGATGCAGTTGTCTACATTTACCTACTTACAACCGTGATTTAGTATTCGAAGAAAATCGCAGCGTGCAACGGAGCCCACCCAAGCATGTGCAACACAAACCACCAGCAATGAATCTTCGGCGAAATGCACAAGGCAGTCCACGGAGAAAGTGGCAAGAGACAGTGAAAACAAAGTGTTGCTACCCTCTCCGATTCAACGACCATTAAAGTAAGTCCTAGCTCAGATTACTAGGTAGTTGGCTGGTTTGAATCAAATGACCACCTGAGTTTAACCTGTCCTTATTAAGAAAACGCATTTGCTATAGAAGAGAATGTTGGTTGCTCATGGAGCATAGATAGTCGTTGGTTTCTTCGTTTCATCAACCGTCGAGGTAACATCAACAGTACATTGTTAGAGAGCGTAGTGGAGCGCAGGGATGGGTTGCTGATTCTGGTGGCAACACTACGCTTCCTAATAACGCACTGATGATGGACCAAAATGGCTTTTGTTAACAAACTATTAGAAAAGGTATTCAACACAAACTTCTCCAGTCGTAACAAGGTGTTGTTTGTCCAGGACTAAGGGATGATTTGCTTCTAGCCTGTATGGGAATTAGAATCAAAAGGATTCATTCATTACATTCTTCGCCAGGAGTTCACACCATTTGTTGCACGTTCAGTAGTCTACCGCATGCATGTCGTGTGAAAATGGCTTTCAGCATGTGCCCCCTTGGTGCACGTTCTGTGTCTTATCACGTGACGTTTAGCGAAGATATTCATCATGTTTTTCAAGAAGTCTGTCCACGGCGTGTGGGAAGAAAATTGTGAAAATTGTCGGTGCCCAATTATATTTATGGATTAAGGTGACCATACAGGGACGCGCGTCATTGGTCAGCTATGTACTCTTGCTAATTCGTTTAGTCAGTCCTGCCTTGACTCTTTCGCACACTTTCTGGTTCACTGATGGACGGTATAGGCATTAAATTCCATGCTCTTCAGTTATATTTTTATTCGTCGTCGTTCGACTTTTTGTGTGCTTCCACTACGTGTCTGACCATAGACGCATGGTAGTTTCTCGCTTTCTTCTCTGAAGTGTGCCTTTACCTCCCTGGGAAACCTGTTTTCTATTCATTTTTCTTGCTATTGACTAGTGGATTGTCCTTGCTTCCGTACACGTGTGAAATCCAGAAACGACACGCGGAATTCTCGAGCCACCCTGGAGGCGGACGCATTTTTCGCTCCTTACCATCTAATTCCAGGATACTACTGGAATGAACAAGATAACCTGATCAGCTGATTAACTCCTAAGCTCACCATTCAGATTTTCAAACCATAGTTGTTTTGTGTAGACGTAATACGGTCACTGAATGCTCTTCGAAAGTCTACAACCGGTTTTGCTCTTCTAGGGGCTCATCAGGTAGGCGAAGGCCCTCGAGTTTCCGTCAACCTTGTGTTCTATTGAATCTAAATTGCACGAAACTAGCGAACCACACTCATTTGCATATCTATTTGGTTTTGACGGGAGACTCACCTGGAACTTGATGCTTTTAAGCAATTGAATGTGTGAAGAGTTTTCAGCAACCTTATGAGTAGTGTAATACTCTATACATGTGTCGCGATATCTTGAATATCGTGCCAACTGAAACAGTCAGTTGTCTAAAAACATTACGAAGTAGAGATTCAGCTAGTTTCCAAGTGAGCTTCCCGTCGAAACCAAATTGGTATGCAAATGAGTGTATTTCGCCAAAGTTGTCCTTAACCTGAAAAATTCAACTTGATTTGACACCGTCTCCTCGTCAATGTATTTGAAAGGGACTGCCAAAACAGCCTCATTTTTAGCGGAGCAACCAGTGGTCTAGCTGAGCGGAAAGAGGATACTTGTTGAGTTGATGAGTTAATATGCTATCGCCGAGTACAGACTTAGGTAACCAGTGCACAGGACAGTGCTAAGTGCACAGTGAGAGTTTCATCTTTCATGCGACTTTGTCTCTGTTGTATTCTGCTAATCACCTGATATTTCAGTGTTCCAGTGGGGTCACTGTGATAAAGTGATCAATTTTTTTACTATGTCAGTACGAATGCGGTCATCGTCAACAAAGTTTCACAAGGCTGAATAGTTTTTTCTCTCCGTCTCGTGCAAGCAAAGTTAGTTGTAGAGAACTTGAACGATGTGAATTTACCACCTGATCTCTCATCCGATTGACAGCCGCGTCAACAAGGATATTTGGATGGACAGACAGACAGACAAATAGAAGGAGAGACACACCAACAAACAAATAGATGGGCAGACCGTTCTCCGACAGATAGTAGATAGATAAGCAGGTAGGCGGACAAGCAGTTGCTCAGTCAGTAAGTCAATCAGGTACCATCAAGTAGTCCTCAGCTCGGAAATGCCTGACTAGCTTTTCGGAATCCTGCCCTGCTGACCAAGGATGACAAACAGTTCCGCTTTCAATGGTTCTTTCTTTCACTTTACACACTACACTAAGGAGCTCAGCAACGGGAATTTTCAGGATTCGACCGGACTTCTCTCTCAAAATGGCGCTTCTATTTTCGGCTCAGACGGCAATCAGCCATCATCTGAACTTTTTCGACACATTTTTGGAGGCGGCCTGATGATACACGTTGCATGTTGTCTTCTAAGGTACGGATGAAGTTCATCCATCTGAGGAGGTTCGGTCATCTGAATATAAAGATTTTTACACAGCTCCGGATACCTTAGAAAGTCATCCAACCTGCCCTCATCTTGCTGTGGGATTCCTGCTGCGTTGTCTTCCTTGANATGAAAACTGCTCATACTGCCATTGATATACCCCCGTCTTCAATTTGTCTTCTCCTGCCACGGAAGTTGTAAATGTTCTACACAGTAAGAAACTTTTAGTCTCGTGTTCAGCACGGTGTTTCAGGTAACCAGTCGATTTGCAGTATTTACCGAGGCCCTGTCTAGGCTGAGGCGACCTGCTAGTATCCCAGCTCTCGTACCTCCTTCGTGTGGCACGGCGGCTAGGCACCGAAAGTGTACTACAGCTGAACAGTTTTTTTCAGTTTTTCACGGAGGAAGAGGTCAGAATTTTTTCATACGTTTGACGCGTCAGCATTTTGGTCCAGAAAACCTCAAAATCAACAGAGTCATCTGCATCGAGAGTGACTTTGAGGGGACCTTACAGTCGGCTGCGTTTTTTAAGCACGGTCAGGAGGTCATAATCTATGCAAGGAAGAGTTATTTTGTCTGAGTTATCTTCCATAATGATCTGAGCATCCCGTTCGGTTTTCACATTTTGTCAGTTCAAAGTCTAGCTCTTCATCAGGCAGAATATCTCGGTCCAGTCGTTCTGCTACTCGCTTCAGTCTTTCTAGTTGTACTCACCTGGAGTTCTTGCGCAACATCGTGTCTTCAAATGAGTCGTAGTTGATCACAGTTTCCCTCGGATTCCAAAGGGACCAGATCAAACAGACCCTCCTTCACTATCAAAATTATTACATCAAGAAGTTTCATTATTTGTCTTGACTGCACTTTTGTTCGTTTATTGAAATACCGTATGAGTTTACTCAACACCGCTGCACTCAACTGAGTTCCTGCCAGGGGCAGGAGAATAAAAAGCACTTCCTGAAGTAGGACAATCTGAGTGTTGTGCCAATTTCCGAATTTGTTATATCACCAGGTCTCCAGAACAAATAAGTCCTTTGTGAACAAACTCGATGGTTCCATAGCTCTTTCTGTAACCGATGCGACCACCAATATACTCTCAAGTACCATCGTAGTCGCCAGTACTGGATAAAGAGTAGTTTGGTAATACAAAGCTTCCTTCTCACTACGTCCGTTTGATGCGTATTTCGCATCCTTCCAAATTCACTTCAGAATCAAGCGCACTTCGCCAGATCCAAGCTTCTTTAAAGACCCTCTCAGTCCCCAGCAAATTCGCTTTTTCCTCTTATTATACATGTTTCTGAAGCCCTCTGATACCACTGGATGTGTTCTGAGATAAACACAACAAATTTCTTCATCCATATTCTCGGGACTCCTTAAAATGCATAACAGATCCATCTACTTTTCTTCTGATCTTCAATTCCTTCAACACTCTTTTCATTCGCACTGGCTCCTCAGGAATTGTGCCGCGTGAAATGCCAACCGTTTGCCTTCGAAGGTGATGAATTCCAAAAAATAGGCGTCCAATGTCGTTTGCTGATTAGATCGTCAGTTGTTGGGAGTGAAAATATTCCTTCAAGTCGTCCCTCTTTTCCTCTGGAATCTAGTTCGAACTGACGTAGCTATGATCAACTGAAGAAGACCTCAACCTTTTCTTTTTAGTTCCTCTGGATTGCCGGCCTTTGGCTCGTGTGCCCTGATGATAATAGTGCATTTCGCCCTTGAATACCTATTATCACGCCTGAAGCCTTCTATGTAGAGATGCTGTGTATATTTTGCTTCCTCATCTTAATCTTCATGCTTTAGTCCAGCGTTCCTAAATTTGTTCTGGCGAATCTTCAAAACGGGACTCAATGCTGAGTCCTTCTGTTGGTGCATTGTGCGACATTCTCGTGACGTGTTTCCCTCTCATCGTGGACTAAAAATTGACAACAGTTTTCGGCATTCATTGTGTGGTCGGAATAACGTTTCCGGCTGAGTCCCCATACTTCTCCGATCTCCAGTCCTTATGTGCTTTGCTGATGCTAAATCCACATTGAGGGTGTCATTTGTTCACATGTCTCGTGAAAATCTATCTGAGGGTATTACATCCCTCTGCTTCCAAACGGTAGGTAAGAGGAGGAAAGTCTTTTAAATAACACAGTGAAGATGTCCTCTAAAGATATCCAAAACCAGTAAAGTTGGCATTCTTTTTCCGGAATTGAACCTTACTGGGACAAAGTGTGTCCGAAATCCTGACAGATCCATTAGGATCCCAGAAATCACAGAGAATGCGGTGGGTGGCTTTGATGGCTTGAGTTTTATTCGCTGTAACTCCACTCAGGGTTGTGAGACCATTAGAAAAAATACCGAAAAATAACTTTAGGTGGAGCAAAAACAACCCATTGGAAATGAAGCCCTTAAATTACCGTTTTCTTGTTTGGGGTAATAGAGGGTAGGAGGTCGAGGAATGTTCAATTCCCGATAAATCTTAAACTAAATTTGTACTCCACAAAGCCACTTAGATTCACAGACGCCAGATATCCCGCTTCAAGTCTAAATTGTGGAAAGAGAGTCATAGATTTTTCGCTCCATGAGAATGTCTTGAGCTAGCTTTCACCATCGGCAGCAAACTGGATGAGGAAGAATCAAGTCGTGGAACAAACTCTCCACATGCACTGACTTGGTCTTGGGGATATTGGAGGTAATGGCAGTGTAGACAGGGCAGAGTTAGCTAGAACACAACGAGCTGCTGTAAAGCGGGAGGCCTACGGAAGAAGTGCTATTTGAGTTTCCGTGCGTATGGTGTCCCTCAGAACTGAGTGTTGTTCCAATATACGTCGTCAGATTTCACCTGAAACGTTTTACTGACCATTCCTGGCGTGTCTCCCGTAGTCTTCACGAGACTGTCCGTTAAATTCTGACATCTCACAAGTGCATAACCCGTCGCCAATGGCTGGTTGTGTTTGAGCATACAGTTTTTCCGTTAGTCTACATCACGGTCGTTGCTCCACCTAAAAGCATGATGAGAATGCCCTATATGTATCTTCTATCGACTTATACTTTTCTGGGCTTGTCGATGAATCAATCAATCACCTTTTTTTGGGTGTGGCTTTCAACCACATCCTATTCTTTGAGAAGTGTTTCAGTTGCTATGGTGAGAATGTGGTCGTCTCCGAAAGGACTTTCCGTCACGCGATCACTGCCGTCCTAACTGGGACTCGTCGGGCGAACGCAGAGTGTTCAACCGTATTTAACTTTCTTGGGCAATATTTATTTGATAGATGCAGTTGAAAAAGAACATATTGAGAAGAAACACGGATCTTTCGCACGCTGTTTAACAAGACCGAATGTCCTAACCTTTTTTGGCATACCACAGTTCCCTCACAGATTTTTGGTGTTCAAAGTCATTTGCAGCGTCCGTAGACAGAAGTACCTCGGAGAGGTCATCACACGAGATATCCCTGATTGGCTGGACCATCGAGTGAATGATTATTGAAATCACTCACTGGAGAACTAGTCAGAGAATGATAACCTTTTCTACGCTTTATTAATACAGTGTAGGTTACTGAAGCACCTGCGTCTAAGACTCCTATCCCAGAACTGATCACCACTTACAACTACACCCCAAAAATATTTTGAAAGACGTTCTCTCAGTCGATCAACCCGAACTGGAGAACCGTCTTATCCAATCAATCCTGTTCAGCAGTGTCACAACGGATTTTTGACACCGAAAGTCTGGGAAAATGGCCGGGCTCCGTGCTTGGAAATTCACAGAAAGAACTATAAAGCCTCTGAACATATGGCATACTACCGTTGCCCCTTTGAAGAGAAAGTCATTTATTTATTTATCCATTCTATCTTTTTTTCTGAGGGCAAGCATACCCGTCGACGGGGTTGTCTACGAAACACCTCACGAATTCGGTGCACTACTGTCTCATAGTGCCCTCGTGTGTAAAGTATACTTCCCAGCGTATACTGTGGGTGACAGGTGGTTTTCGTTTCAATGATTTCCTATATTACTATTATTGAATAATAATAATAATGGTTAAGTCTAAAGCCCACCGGCATCTCGACAATAAACTTGTCCGCAATAAGAATATCTCGGTTGTTGATGTTTAATTGTACACTTTGAGGGAATTTGGTAAAATTATTCTTGAGAAAGGAAGTTATCCACTGGGGACACCTGGAGTGGTATTTGACAGAAGCTGAAGGCGGTCTTTCTTCAGATTTCGAACTAAAGGCATATCCACTGGAGTCGTGGTGAAATTGCCCCTCATAGAAGGGGGCCACAGTCTGTTTCCGGATTCGTGAAACCGTGAACTTTACTCGTGAATTTCATTTTGTTTGTTTCAACGATGTACGATGTCACGGGTTGCCAAGTTCAGGAGTCGTCAGAAAAAATATTTCGAGTTGAAAGAGCTTCCGTTCTGTCCTTTATTTGTACCATTCACTCGTGTGTTTGAACTAGAATTGAATTCAGGATGTAGATCTTACAAATGTGAATCCTGTCATCCCAAAGTGCATCAGTATTTGTCTGCTTGTAAATTATCTTGTTGACAAACTACCATAAAGTTAACCAGTAATTGTTTTTTCGGCTGCCACACAGATTTGTACCAACGTGCGATTTGAGTTCTGCTGATGAAACAATATCTCATCCATACAACGGTCCGAGGACATGCAAAATCAGGCCAATCGCCCAGTTAAACCGTTCTTCCACCCCAACTGATCAGTACACGAGAAGATTATCCAAGGCTTATGAAATGACAGAGCATTCTTCTCGTTGCTCATTCATCTTGAAGCCACTGAGACCACCCCCACCGAAGCTCTCTCTGAGGTCCGCCAATCGCCTTTCAAAATCACTGGGTGAAGCGCTGGACCAAATCCTAAATCTTGGTCATCTGAATGCACGACGAAATATCTCCAGTGGAATAAAACTCTTGCGTCACGATGTGACTGGGAACTTTTCAACTCGACCAGTAGCAAAAAGCGAGCCTGGCATGGATCCAGTAAATTCAACGCAGCTTGCTGATTCTTTTGCCCAGCCAAACTCTCGGCAATTAGTTACCAATCGCTTGGATGGAGGAATAACCTCCATCAACTTTAGGAATTCGAAACCGCCTCCAATTCCACCAAAGAACCAAAACGTGAGGTCGGTCGCTAAACGAATAAAGCAGTCGCGTAGAACTTCAGTGGAATTTTCCAACATCGTCCAGGAAATCGGGAGAAACTACATGGTTCGCGAAATACCATATGCGGAGCACCGCTACATGAGTAGTGCGATTTAGATTGATCTTGTCCTAGGGACATTTAGTTCCTGAAGGCGAGCATTTACTACTGATCACAGACACGTCCTTTAGACGATGCATCAAACCCCTTTTCGATTTTGTGAACGCAATTAAACGTACATGTGAATAAATTAGTTTCGAATGCATCCATTTTGGTATTGAAGTGAGGTTGATGGAGGTTAAAGAGTTTGGCCGCGCCTACCTAGCTGACAGAAAGGAAGCGAGAGATATGTCGACGGATTGTCGAACGGTGTTTGACAAACTTATCTCTGATATCTAAAGAGTCCAATTGTTTTACCATTCAATTTTCCTGGAAAACGTAGACACTCGATAATTTTCGCCCGAATGCTCATCGATTGGGCACATTTAGAGGGACCGAACCATCTACCTGTTTGTTCTCACTGTTAGTCTAGCAATCACGAAGTCATCGATTATATTTCCGCAACGTTTGTGTTCAAGTTACACGGATAAGTTATGCTGAGCAATCGGTTTGCTCACTGTTAATTCCTTTTATTTAGATCTTTCGCTTCAGCCGTCAGTGAGTCTTCGTGGCCAGGTTTGTCTGGCTATCGCTCCGAGGAATGCGAGAACTTCCAGTAGTCATCTCAATAAAGATTTCGTGAACAAACGGCGGAACATATATTATCTACTTAAAGTGATGGGAGAGATTCTGAGTATCTTGTTGTTCGCTGTGTATTTCCGCGTGAACGATTCGGTTACAATCAGCACGGAGGAAGTAGGCACAGCTACAGTTGTGCTACAGTTGTTGGCACTAAGACAAAACGGATTTTAAAAGATTGTTAACATTTTGAAGCATCGTTTTTTGTTGAAACCTTCTGTGTTGCCTCAATAGTGATGGAAAACTGTATGTACTTGGGCATACATATTTGTCGATGGATGAAACATGTCACCACACCACACGTTATTTGCTACACGTAATGCAATGCTCACTGACTTGTAACAAGAACTTCGTATCTATTGTGCATTGCTGTTCATTCTCAGGCTGTCGTCCGATCAGGGTTACTCGGATCCACATGTGCATATTGTAACCGTGGACTATCAGTTCACAACTGTTGCTGTCAGGATCCTCAGATTCAGGTCTCAGGCTGCACAGAAAGTCAAATGACGGAAGGCGAAAGCAGCCAACCTCCTATCTTCGGCTGATTAGTCGAGTGCTTTTGGCCGGCAGTTTTTCCGGAAAAGGGCGTGTGATATTGTTGTATCCAACGCACAAAGAATTCAGGAGATGGTTAGACTCCAGCTTAGAGGGCGGAAAGGATTACACAAACCACGAGCTGGAACATAACAATGCACATAAATTCTAAACTACTGCTGGAGTGTAAGTAGTCTAAATAAACGAACCTACCTTCAGTGAATTGCGGTGAAACACAGTGAAGAAGCCTTCCAAGAAGACTGCGCCAAGGATGGTTCCAGAATGGTGAGGTCGGATTCCGAACGCGAAACAATCACGCATAACACCATCTTTTGGGTGTCGACCAACAAAACGGATATATTGCTAGATAGGGAATTTGGATGGAAGTCTTTTTAATGGAACTCTTAACAAGAGGACGAAAGGATACGCCAAGTTTTCTACTTGGATGTTGCCAAATCGGCGAAGATGCTGAAGCTGTTCGGATGCGAAGACAACGATTTCCAAAGATGCTTCCATAAGTTTTGTGTCTAGAGACACGATCTTGTTTGCAAGAAAGTCAGGTGAAATGTTACTACTCGACTGAGTGACCAGCGGAAAAACACAAAAGCAATGGAATAAAATCCGATTCACACTTGCTTGTTATTGAGGAACACTGCATCGATCAAATAAAACTCGGTCGTGTACTGGGCGCTTTTGAGCTGCCACCGTAAAACCACATTGTGGGAGACTAGGTTTAAGCCACATCTGTTGATTGCTTGCTCCCCACTTTCATTTACAGAGTCTGGGTTGCTCCTTGATCCATGATGAATCTGATTAAAAAAACGCAATAGATTGTCCGTTGGTTCACTCAAGAGGCTATCCATTCCAGAGGTTAGATTTTTAGAATAGCTAACGGTTTTCTAGCCAAGGGTTTAGCCAAGACTGAGGACTATCCTTGAAGAAAGGGAATACTTTAAAGTTATGTACAGATTACGATACCTTCACTGAATTTTCTTAGCTAGATCACAGGCCAGTTTTCGTGCGTGAGATAGATTAGTTCTAATCCAGTGACGACGTACTTGAGGAGATAAGGTGAGAGAAAGGGCTTCTTTGTTCATATCGGCTCCCAGGGCCAACATTTGGAACTCAATAACTGGGAACAATGTGTGAGGTAATCCAGAAGCTCCACCGATCTGGTTGTCCGAAGAGGCTTCACACAGCATCGAGGCACCAGCCCAGAAACTAGCGTAATTTTGCAGCATTGTGGCAGTGCTGCTGCTCTGTTTGGCTACGTAGGTTTTGATGTGTCCAAGCAGTGGCTGAAATACACGCTCAGGGACTTGGATATTCGTGGTTCCGGAATCCACGATTGAGAATTCGACGTTTAGCTGGAAAGAAATCGAAGCGAGCAGATGAGGCTGGGTGTGTGCATATCAAATGTTTCAGTAAGAGTGCAAAACATTGGTTGAGAGGAACCTAAGGTGATAAGATTCATGGGGACTTTCTGTCCCCCACATAAACTAGAAATGGCGTTAGCGAATATACACACTCATTTGCAAACTAATTTGGTTTTTCGAGAGACTCACCTGGAACCCAGCTGAATCTCTTGGTTTGATGTTTCCAGGCAACTGAATGTGCTGCACCAGGCCGCCTCATTTTTCAGTCACCTGGAAGCATCACAAATGAGATTCAGATGGGTTTCAGGTGAGTCTCTTGAAAAACCGAATTAGTTTGCAAATGAGCGTATATTCGCTAATTTTTTTAAATTTGGTTTCAAGTGGAATATAACGACGGGAACTCGGGGACTGCGCCTACCTAATGAGCCCCAAAAAGGGCGAAACCGGTCGTGGGCTGGTCGAGGAGTTTCAACAAACCTTTGAGTAGTGCATTACAAAAAATATAGATTTTGCGTTCCCAATGGCACCAACAGTACTTGAGCTTCGTTGTGGTTTTCTTGTTAGACAGATGGTTAAAACGCACAGGTTTGTTTTACACTGGCCGCAGCTTTACAAATGGAAATTAAAACTATGCTTGCAGTCAAAGTCTAGCTGTTCACCTAAACTCTGTGATGGAATCCTCTCCGAGTTCAGAGAACACTCAATCAGCTGGAAGATCCTGTCATAAAGTGTTTTGTTGTTACAGTGAATAGTTTCTCCGCCAGCAAACAGTTTGATTGCGAATAACGAGCGATCGGAAAAACATTTGTTAGACTGGCCTCAAATGCGAACAGGACTAGAACAAGGATTATAATCAGAGTCACCGCGACGGTGTGAAGAGTCAGAGAGTTTGCACGTGTGCGTATCCGTTCGTCAATCTACCACCAATCTGGCGTGTGACTGTATACTTAGCCAACTCCACCTTGGTGGCGTCTGACCGGCTTTGACCCCCTTGCTGATCAGCGTAGGCATCTTGACGCAACCTTGTTACAACCTACCGTGAAATCAGAGGCGGTGGGCGACGGTGTAGTCAGAGAGTTTGCACGTGTGCGTATCCGTTCGTCAATCTACCACCAATCTGGCGTGTGACTGTATACTTAGCCAACTCCACCTTGGTGGCGTCTGACCGGCTTTGACCCCCTTGCTGATCAGCGTAGGCATCTTGACGCAACCTTGTTACAACCTACCGTGAAATCAGAGGCGGTGGATTCAACATTTGAGTGGAGTCGGTTGCAGCAATCATTGAACAGACCACAGTACAAGTTTCTTCGTTGTAGTGGCCATCAAA